ATTGCATCTGTATTTATGTACCGGTACATAATTTTTATTCTGTCTAAAAGTTGAAAGCCAGGGGCCGGTTGTATCAAGGATATTTAGCTCAACTATCAAACAAATCCATGAACTATAGACTACAATCAAACTAATATTTTCTGTCCAAACATAACAACCATGCATTGAACTACACATTTCGTTGATAAAATTGAAGTTCAATTTTTTACAAAATGAATAGGAATGTTTTGAAATTTGTGCTTATCCACCGTTTAAAGCTAGATTACAGTCCATTCTGCGCATGTGCGGGCTTTGTTTACATTTTTTGTTTTGGTTTGGATCTACTTCAATTGTATAATATGAAGTATAGCGGCTATGCACTAAATAAATGGAGTCCGAGTGAGGAGTAGAGTTGTTAATTTTTTTAAAATTGTCTTCTGAAAGACAAGCAAATAAATATTTTGAAAGATCATCAATGGAAGATATACTGTTGATCAATTCGGCACTTGTTTTTGTGTGCCTCGTTGATGAAACATTCAGAAGAGACCGACACAGCCGAGCCAAAGGTGCGAGTCCGCACTCATTGTGTTGATTATATTAATGTTCGGCATTGTAAAATAAACTTTGGAAGTGTCAAAGTAATCACGAATCTTTCCTTGGGGTATTTGTTCGTCAAAACACATTGCCAGAGTTATTGTTGCTGTCATGGCAGAAGCACTCGGAGAAAGCTTTTCGCTGGAAGAATTGGAAACGATATGTTCATGTCCCTGCAATAGTATGGGTATTTTTTGCTCAAACGCGTGCCACGAAGAGGATTTTGATGCAAGTATGAACAATCGAAGGACAGATGGTGAGTTTGTATTATTGCTATTAGTTATGTACTGTTCGTTATAAACGTGCTTCACATGTAATCTTATTGTATTCGTTCATTAGTTTATATATGTTTCGTTAGTTTATACGCAAAAAAATGGCCTGAGCAATGGTTCATTTGAGAATATGTAATGTTGTTCACTGTGATAGTTCACTCAAAGGATGATTATCTAACAATAGCTGGGTAAACTTTGTTTACATATTTTGATACTTTGCCTGCCAAGAATATACGCAGACATACATTTCTGAAAGCTTTAACCACTGGCTTTAACACACGTGATTTGTTTTATTAAATACCCCACATAATTATACATATCCTTGCCGGGTAAAATATCAAATTATGTAAAAAAAAGTTTGTCTGTCCATATACAAGTCTACATTGGTGTGAAAATGCAGTAATTTGGTGGTAAGAAATATCTGTGTTTCACTGTGCTTGAGTCTTTGCATTTAATTAATGATAAATATATTCATTTCAGAATCTTGTGGAAGCAATGGATTTAAATGCCCTTTGAAGAGCATTTGCGTTAGAGCTTATACAGCGACAGCCAGCTGCATTTGTCAATTTGGCAAATGGGGAATTGCCAGGTGAACCGCTTCAACCAGACCCAGCTACGAAAACCCAGAAAATGCCTCAGAGTTTGCAAATGTGGATGCAGTGTTGCAATGCCAACACAACTGGAAAACAAATCTGTACACAAACAAGACAGCCTTGCATAACCCTAGCCCTCTCTTCCCACAGTTAGTACTTGATGGAAATGTTCGATCTGGACCTGGCCATGCATTAGATGCCCTGGTTCCAGAGGTTTATTTTTATTATTTTCATTGTGAAGGGAAGAGGAAAAATAAACCTCTGGTTGAATGCGGCAATTGATTCATCGAGCCGCGCCAATCAGTTTGAATTAGGGTCAGATCCTGACTTTGTCTTCTGGTTGGATGATTGTATTAAAGCTCTCTGATTGATTCAAATAAAACATCTATAACCAATCAGAGAGCTTTAATACAATCATCCAACCCTAATTCAAACTGATTGGTGCGGCTCGATGAATCAATTGCAGCTTTCAACCAGAGGTTTATGGAACCAGGGTATGCATTAGAGGGATCATTGACGGAAACTTTATTATTCATTAATCCATTTTACTGCAATTATCTCCCCTTGACAGGGAGGATCATTTTAAATATTTTGAAAGAACTTGGGTAGTTCACACCTGTTAAGGCCCGTTCACACAAGCGATTTTAAACTTTGATTTTCTCCTTTTGGCATATGTGTTTTAGCAAAATTACAGGAAACATTACTTTGCGTGGCTTGATTGTTCAGTCTAACACATACACCAAAAGAAGAAAATTGCAGTTCAAAATTCCTTCAAATTTATTTTAAGCTTTCTCTATCTCCCACAGCAAATTTTGCTAACAAATAAAAGCCTTTATCAAGTTAGGGACGGGTCATTATGTATGGTGGGGGGTGGCACCGAAGAGAAATATTTTTCCTGGCAAAAATTTTGCTGACCCAACCATAAAAAGTCAAAAATTTGATTACCCAACTTCGAATATCAATTAAAAAATAAATACCCACCCCTGGCCAAAACCTTTACAAAAGGATACCATTCAGTTGTCACACATGTCCTTTTTAATACCACTTCTGTGACACGAGTTTGATAACGGATTGTGCAATTTTCTGCAGTCTAAAGTTTCATGTTGTCTGCACATGTACTTTCTTTGGAGACACCATCTGTCTCCCAACAAATCGGAAAATGATCAAGATAGTCACTCTGATTGATTCATATATTGTATTTACATATGACTGTTGACATTGCTTTTCAGTCTCCACTATTTAAGTGAGTCATGCTTTGGAAATGACAATAATTTTTTATTACCCAACCCTTGAGTTGTTTTGTTTTTTATTTCCCCAACCTTTTACTTACTCAAAATTTTGTTTACCCAACCCTTTTCTCTTCGGTGCCACCCCCCGCCTTAAATAATGACCGGTCCCTTAATGCGTTAAATCTTTATGCACAGTAATATTTCATTTTATAAAAGACAAGTTATCAAATGCATTGGATGTCCAAGCACAACATTTGGTATTGACATTGATTTTTTTATTCTTTAAAATTACTCTTTGCTCCTTACTTCAGTCCTGAAAAGTGTATTGCTGTGCACCGAAGATCAATGAATCCAATATGGACAGCCTGACTCACTATTGGGGTCCGGGGGGTTGTAAGAGTTCCTTCTCCTTGGTGAACTGCCTTTCAGGGATTATGAGCTCCACGTAACCAGAGCACTTTGTTTTAAGTGCCAGACACTTGTCTACATTGATCAGTTGAATCTAGACTGATGGGTTTCAACAAGTTATTTGACTGAAGGAGAAGGGACAGGGGTTATGTTAGGAGTGATTTGCCTTTGGTCATCACTTGCAACACCAATCCCCATATATACCTAAAGAAGACTTATAATTAGTTTTATTCCTGTTTAAATGCACATTAGTGCCTGCTGACCAATGTGTTTTAAAAACACTTAAATAGCTTTTTTCAAGCCACATTTTGATTTTGTTGATGTTCATGCAAATCAAAATTTGGCTTTCCAAAAAGCCATTTAAGTGCTCTTAATTAAAACACATCAATCAGCAGGTGCTACTGTGCCCTTAACATGCCTACAGAATGATCAATATATTTGTTTGAAAATGTGATATAAAGAATATGGAATTTCATAATGAAAGCTAAAAGTCACTTTTTTTCTCACTAGGATTCAGGAAAGCATAAAATGTTATACATACCTTCATTATAAGTTGTAGGATGTATTCGTACTGCTTAGGAGAATCTTTAAGAATCTTTATATGGCTCCATTGCTGTTTCCCCTTTCTGAGCATATACTGGCAATGGCTCATGTCTGCATTGTATTGTTTCATCTGGCTGCTGATCCGTCTGGGTTTCCACAGCGCTATAAGTGCACAATAAAGTTTTGTAATCAGGAAATATAACAACATTAACATAACTGAAATATCCAGGGATATGTGTTATGTGCTTACCACAATTAAATCCGTCTTGATGTTTCGTATACAGGCTCGATCAGCAGAGTATTCGCGAACCCTCGTCATTTTTAATCCCAGCTTCAGTTTTGAAATGATTTCACCCACCAATAGCGTCATTAAAGTACATTTTCGCTGCACACCTTTTCGCGGAATGTTCTTTTCGATTTCCTGGTTGGTTTTGGCGACCATCATTAGAAGGATTTGCCTTTGAAGTGGACGGCTCTATTATATAACTCTTGCGAGTCGGCCATTTTGTGCGCGCATATCCGAATAAGGACTGGGGAGCACACAAAATCAAAACAAGTGTGCTCACATTTGTTTACATTTTTTACACATGCGCAGAAGGGACTGTAATCTAGCTTTAAGTAGTCTCCTATGCAGACCTACTTTAGCGGGTTTGGGCCCGCCACGTACGGTCTGCTTACTTTGGCTAGCAATTCGCCTTCCAATTGTATTCCATTAGCCAATAGCATTCAAATACACTAGACACGCCCACTTTGAATGTCAACTGTAAAGTCAGAGCTGTAAAGTGTAAACAAGGAGCGTGCGATAATCGAATATTAATACGGTATATACGTATTTAAATGGCCGTAAATGTGAACAGATCGAGTTTTCTGATCAATAGCAGTCGAAGTAGAAAATATTGAATATTTTTCCAACGAAATTACGCGATAGATAGGTCGAAGGCTTAAATGTATATAAAACTATGCACTGGTATTAAATATACTTGTTTTGAACTTGACGCGACTGCGTGACTTGTATATTCAATATATACTATAAGTTTCCGAACGTTCATTATCAGAGCGACTTTCGTAATTACGATTTTATTAAACTTTATAAACTGGCTAGTCATATACAAACTAAGAAACCGAAATATGCAATGAATTAATTCAGTATTTTATATAAGCTGAATTCTGTAATCTTCAATTGGTATTTAACTATTTATAAATCTATTATCTACACCCGCAGTGATGTACACTGTTAAACTTTACTGACTTTGTCTTGACCTCTTTGTCCAGTATATTACCCGTGTTACAGTAACACCTGCTGCAAACGCTTGTATAAAAGTAATCAAAACATCGCGAAATATTTTAGGTGATATTGTTCGATTTTACTACACTGTATTTCACTGTCTGTTCAAAACAATAGCTCGACAAGTTCTAACAGATTTTACAATTGTTCCATATTGTAAATTTGTAGACTGGTATATGTATAACAAATATATCTCTCAGCTCTCCAGATAATCGGCTTATTAAAGATATGAATACGTACAAATCAAGATATGAAATGTTCAAGATTAAATGTGATTAAATGTTTTGAAACTTTTGACGACCCAACTCACCCAAGCCTCAAGGTCAGTCAAAGGTCAAGCCCCACAATTTTCGTGGGTAAAGCTGTGATTGGCTAATTTTGAGGAAAGGAATTCTTGGCCAAAGTAAGCATACCTTACGTGAGGGCACTGCCCGCTAAGTAGGTATGCGTAGGAGACTACCGTTTAAGCTAAACGCCTTTGAAACAACTGGCTCCTGGTTATCCTAACCCATTGAGTGGCGATGCACCCTGATGCACCCTACTTTAGTATTTTACTCTGCCTAACGCCAGACAATTTTACTCGTCAAGGGGAGAGCGCTGGCTCTTAATGGGTTAACCCGCCTATCTGCCCATATGTCTAGTTAACCTATTCAGTGGCGATGCTCCCTGATGCACCCTACTTTAGCATTTTACTCTGTCTAACGCCAGACGATTTTACTCGTCAAGGGGAGAGCACTGGCGCTTAATGGGTTAACCCGCTTATCTGCCCATATGTCTAGTTAACCTATTCAGTGGCGATGCTCCCTGATGCACCCTACTTTAGCATTTTACTCTGTCTAACGCCAGACGATTTTACTCGTCAAGGGGAGAGCGCTGGCGCTTAATGGGTTAACCCGCTTATCTGCCCATATGTCTAGTTAACCTATTCAGTGGCGATGCTCCCTCATGCACCCTACTTTAGCATTTTACTCTGCCTAACGCCAGACGATTTTACTCGTCAAGGGGAGAGCGCTGGCGCTTAATGGGTTAACCCGCCTATCTGCCCATATGTCTAGTTAACCCATTGAGTGGCGATGCTCCCTGATGCACCCTACTTTAGTATTTTACTCTGTCTAACGCCAGACAATTTTACTCATCAAGGGGAGAGCGCTGGCGCTTAATGGGTTAAGATAAGCAAAATCTTGTTTTATCAAATTATCCATTGTTAGATGGCATGCAAAATAACAACACAGCATTGCCAAGAATTTGTATTCTTGTTGGAATTTCCTATATTGAGCACTTACTATATTTCACTCTGTCTAACAATTTGGAACTAATTTGATAAAGGAACATGGCAATAATGCATCATAAAGGCCACATGCATTATATTGTTTTGGTTCAGTTTTTTATACACTATGCATGGATAGACTTTAATTGGCAAAACTACAATGGTGACAGTTTTGTAAATAAGTTAATATTGAGGAAGATAATTGTATAATGTTTTGATAGATATTTTCAACGTTAAATTTTATTAAAGTTAAAATATAAACTGGTTTTTGATATTAATACCTTGTATACTATATTCACAATATTCCGAGGACTATAGTTGTTGTACAGGTATTTTCATCGTTTGCAATTTGTCAATTACTGGTAACTTGTTTTAGTCTTTCAGAAAGCAATGATATCTCAGAACACAAGACTTTATGTGACAATTTCGATACATTTTTATTGCAAATGAAACAAAAATATCAAGCAAACGTCGATTGTATCCGTGCATGTGATTCATTGACTTTTAATACAGTAATATATTAAAGTTATATACTTCCGTGTATGTGCATGTGCATTTATGGATAGCGTGCTACAATAACGTGGTCGTACTGTAATTCCTTCGCAGTTGCCAGTTGCTATGCAACCAACACATCGATATTTTAATATATTGATCCTCAAAGGAAATGTTTTTTAAAAGACAATAGCATAAACTAAGATATAAATGGACCATTTCGCAAGGTAAGTTTCTGACATTCGAAGGAAGAAATAACTTTTTAACCCCTGAAACGGAGTTAGATTTATTTAACTCCTTAAAAAGTGTTATATTTTAACACCCAATGAGTGTTATTTTAACTCCAAAACTGGGGTTAAATTTTAACACCTTAATTGGTGTTATTTGTAACCCCTAAAAAAGGATTATTTTAGACTAAACGTCGTAACCCCTCTTTTTGGTGTTAAAATAACACCCCGAAAATAACAGTGTGGCAATTCTACCGCACGTTATTCTCTCGATAACATCATGCAGTCAGGAAAAATTTTATAAATATACCATCACATATTTAGTCTTAGTCCTACATAACACGAACAAAGCTCTTTTATGAAGCCACTCGCAACGGAATGATCGTTCACCAAATTAGTTGAAAAATGCTAGTTTAGCATTTTAAAGTATTCTTGTCTGCTCTGCATCTTTTTAAGAGATGAAAAGCAGACAAGAATGCTTTAAAATGCTAAATTAGCATTTAAATTATAATCGTTAACTGGAATTCTTCTTTGTTTTAAAACTTCTGTTTAATGGAGGAGGGTGGAGAAGGAGAAGGGTGTCAAAAAATATTTCTTTCCCATGCATTCTGTACCTCAAATTAGGTCTGCTCCCAGTCGGACTGGGATTAGACTTCTTTCACTACTTATTATAAATTGGGCGCTGTAGTGAATAGAACACAGCGAATCGTCAAAGAAACAAGATATTCTTTCCTACTCTAAACGTTTAACGAACTGCAGCAATCACACAATACTATATAGTGTCCTTGAACATAAACTAGTACAGGATCGCAATAATACCCTGCTGATCAAACGTGCATCAGAATTATAAAAGTTTCCCGGTCTGCTGGACTCATATGAACAAGCCCTTTAAGTAGTATTTAAAACACGAGAAGGAGTGTTTTATCATATTTAAAGGGTATTAGCAACAAAAAAATTATTCCTTCATCTGAAAGAGCATGAAAAAATAAGCCGATTGGCCGTTTAATGTACTATTCTATCTCATCTAGTTCCGAAGTTATACGCAAAAATGTGCAAAAATATAACGGTTGCTGATTCAGTAGTGATTCAGCACAACGTGTGACGTCATTAGTTGGGTAAGTATGTTTAATGAATACTAAACTGAAGCATAGCTCAGTTATTATGGGCCCAAATCAATGAGATAGAATAGAACAGTAAACGGCCAGTCTGCTTATTTTTTCATGCTCTTTCAGATAAAGCAATAATTTTTTTAAAAGCACTTTGCTGGGCATTAATATTTATTATCAGAATTCGTTTCCCGCCTGGTACTTCTCTGGTAATAATTTTTTTATTGCCAATACCCTTTAAAACGCGAGGCGCAGCCGAGCGTTTTAGATATGATAAAACGCAAGTTCGGGTGTTTTGGATAGCTTAAAATACGACCACAAAAGAACACTAATTAGGATGAAGAATTATATAAAGAATACTAATGAAGATAGTTTTATCAGATATAAAGTCACTCCACGTGACATATTATGGCTGACAAGGTTTGACACAAGGTTCATGAATTTTTAATGAGTGTTTTAATTACTACTTCAAAGGCTTACTCTGCATATAGCATTTTTGAAAATAACTTTTTGGTCAAGATTATTTCCGTAACGCAGGACGAGGGAAAGTAATTGTGGTAAAAGAGTTTTAATTGTATCTTAAAGGTCTCTTATGAAACGTAAAATATAAAAAAATTTAAACATCTTTGCATTTCCTAATGATTGGTTTCATTGCCAAAATAACGTTGATTTCTCCTTCTTGTGCGCCCTTTCACACACATGGAGCCACCTGGATTGTTTGAATTGGTCATGCTCCTTTGCGACGTTATCAACCGGAATAATAAATTTCATAAGGTGTACGTGAAACAAAAGTGGAAGACCATTCCGTTTCACCAAAACCTAATCCGTAAATCAGTTTTATATTATTCTGACAGCAGAATCGAGCAACGAAAAATTCGTTGGCTCGAGCGGGATTTGAATTCGCATCTTCGGGTATCTACACCGTCGCTCTACCCATTGAGCTATCGAGTCAACTGGGATTGGTAGCGAGTCTTATCCAATTTAAGTGCACAAAATATTTTCGTGACGACTTAACGCTTGTCTTAGAGGACGCGCAGTGTTTCAATTCTATTTCAGAACCATCCTCAGATATACGAAAACCAGTTTTATATTATTCTGACAGCAGAATCGAGCAACGAAAAATTCGTTGGCTCGAGCGGGATTTGAACTCGCATCTTCGGGTATCTACACCGCCGCTCTACCCATTGAGCTATCGAGTCAACAGGGATTGGTAGCGAGTCTTATCCAATTTAAGTGCACGAAATATTTTCATGACGACTTAACTCTTGTCTTAGAGGATAATTCTAAAATAGAATTGAAACACTGCGCGTCGTATCTCTGAGCATGATTCTGAAATATAATCCGTAAATCTTATCCTTGCCGAGCAGTAGTGTAATGAGTATCTGGTTTGAGCGAATTGGACAACCACGCTCTGCTTAATTAACATTAAATGCATAAAGCTTTTAATAAACAACAACAATTTATCTTTAATAGATTCCAATTGAGAATAAGGATGTGGATTTAATCCAAATATCTTATTTATATGTTCGGTAATCAAAGAATAACCAGAACTGGATTAGCTTGCGCCAGCTTTATAAGAATGATGAACACGCCAAAGAAACATCAGCTAGATGAGTACCTAAACGCCGGACGCTCTCATACAGATAGCCATCAGTTTAAACTGGCAATTGTAAACTTTCAACAAGCCTTGATATTAGCCAAAGAACTGAAAGACGGAAAGAAAGAATCCAGGGGAAACATTGGGTTAGGTACTGTTTATATATGGGACAATCAGCTTCAAAAGGCAATGGAACACTATGAAAAAGCCTTGGAAATTGCGAAAAAACAAGGATACAAACAAGAGGAAACATGGGCATACCTTGAGTTAGGAGATTCTTATAAATTGAACAATCAGATTCAAAAGGCAATGAAATACCATGAAAAAGCGTTGGAAATTGCAAAAGAACGAGGATATAAACTACAGGAAACACGCGCGTACCTTGGGTTAGGAGGTGATTATAGTTTGAACAATCAGATTCAAAAGGCAATGGAACACTATGAAAAAGCCTTGAAAATTGCCAAAGAACAAGAATATAAACCAGAGGAAACACGCGCTTACTTTGCGTTAGGAGGTGCTTATAGATCGAACAATCAGATTCAAAAGGCAATGGAATACTACGAAAAAGCCTTGGAAATTGCAAAAGAACGAGGATATAAAGTGCAGGAAGCACGCACACACCTTGGATTAGGACATGCTTATAGATTGAAGAATAAGATTCAAAAGGCAATGGAACACTTTGAAAAAGCATTGGAAATTGCCGAAGAACAAGGATGTGAGCTAGAGGAAATACGCATACACCTTGGGATAGGACAAGTTTATAGATCGAACAATCACAAGGCAATGAAACACTTTGAAAAAGCCTTGGAAATTGCAAAGGAACAAGGATATAAACAGGAGGAAATTCACGCATACCTTAACTTAGGATATGCTTTTATATTGAACGATCAGGTTCAAACGGCAATGAAACACTATGAAAAAGCCTTGGAAATTGCAAAAGAACGAGAATATGAACACGAGGAAGTACGCGCACACCTTGGGTTAGGATATGCTTATGAATCTAACAATCAGATTCAAGAAGCAACGGAATACTATGAAAAAGCGTTGGAAATTGCAAAACGACGAGGATATAAACAAGTGGAAATACGCACATACCTTAGGTTAGGGGAAGCTTATGGATTGAACAATCAGTTTCAAACGGCAATAGGACACTATGAAAAAGCCTTGGAAATGGCAAATGAACGAGGATATAAACAGGACGAAACAACCGCATACCTTGGATTAGGAGATGCTTATAGATTGAACAATCAGATTCAAACGGCAATAGGACACTATGAAAAAACCTTGGAAATGACAAAAGAACGAGATGATAAGTATCGAGAAACAAACGCATACCTTGGGTTAGCAGATGCTTATAGATTAAACAATCAGATTCAAACGGCAAATCAGCACTATGAGAAAGCCTTGGAAATTGCGACAGAACAAGGATATAAAGATTTAGCAGGAGATGCAATGGAAAAATTGTCAAGATTTAAAGGTAAGCTTAGGTGAAGACCATGCAGGTTGGTAAGGTTATAAGTATTTCGAAAGTAAAACGTTCAATCTGGCGCTTGATGTTGCTGTTTTCAAATTTTCTGCACATTAATATAACAAAAATGTGTTCGGTTGAGGAGCATTTTTCAGATTGTTTTAAAGAAATTAATAAAGGATCGCTAAAAGGTTAGTATAAATCCCAATGTGTAAAGCCCAAGTTTATCAAACCGTCAAATGCTATCCATGGGCATCTTGGGTTAAAAAATTTCTTCTTGGCACACTCATCTCTCATGTTGTAATCAACTCAAGCGGTCAGAGCGAGACTAGTGGAAAGTAACTGACTTCCCGGGTAGCCTGGGTTGTTAGTCTGACTATATAAGAGAAATTTTCAAGACGCAGAATGACAACTAGGTTGTCGGGAAAAAATAAAACATAACCTCCTGTTGGGGGTAATCGTGAGGTCACCGTAGGAATTTTCCATTTCGTATAAACAGCGAGGTTCACCTGTAATAATAATCAGTGTCACCATGCCAATCAGTGTCACACTCACCACGCGAAAAACCTGTTCAAGCGCACGTGTTGTGCTGGCATCTGTAGTAATTTTGTATCGAGTATTGTTTCCTCGGTTTCTTTTTAACGTTCGTCTTCCAAATTAACATTGTTGACATTTTAAATTAAGCCAGGTTTTAAAAGCTTTTTTAAGTTCTAGACGATAATCACGATATGACTGTTAAAGATGACGTCAAGTCTGTTCTGCGCATGTGCTATGTGAGGATCCCTGGTCATAAACAATACCCAAATTTCGCGTTGTTTCGACATCTTCTAAATTGAAACTCTAACCTATATTCATTTAAAAGTACAGCAAACCAGAACGATGTTAGATATTAACTAAGTGCATCATATTTATGAATATAGTGTCTTCAAAATGTAAACAAACTACACATCCGCTGAACGGACTTGACCGCCTCAAGTATTGCCCATAAGCAGCGGATCGGAAGTATTTGCGGATCCGATCCGATCCAACAATCGATTTCCAGTAAAAGGACAAGTGGAATGATCGGATAGGAAAAGCTCGTTCCAATTTCACAAATCACTATTTCGCGCATATTACAAATAAGCTATGAACAAGTATGTCCTTCATCTTATTTTGTTGCGTCGTTGCCAGGGAAGCAGAAGAAAACAAGAAAAATACAAGCATGTGGATAAGAAAAATGTTTCAGGATAGACAGCAGTGGAAAAGTGAATACCACTTATTGATACAAGAGCTAAAGCTATAAATATCACCATGAATATTTTTTGAGCAATTTTATATGCTGCGAAGCAAATTTGAAAAGCTGTTCTACTCTCCAATTCTTGTAAATTCTCCCTCGAGTTCTCCAAGAAAGCTTCTAAATTATCCCCCATTTTTAAAATTTTATGCAGGTATTATTTGATTATTTCAATTTTTGTAAGATAATACGGCATTTTGAATTTGTCGCCAGGTTTAATTTGCGGTACCGGACCAAAAAAACCTTTTTATTATCGATCCGGTCAGCAACGTCACCGGATTAATCGGAACTAAAAATGTCTACTGATGACGCATGCGCGCGGATCTTATTTTGTTCCCATCCGCTGCCGCATCGTGTTGAACACGTCGGGACGCATTTATAACGAGTGTTTCGCGTGGTGAATATCTCATTTCATATTCACCGGATGTGACGCACACCGACAGTGGTGACACTGGTTGTTACTGGTGAACCTGGCGGTTTACGAAACGGAAAATTGCGTCGCCGTGTAGAAATTGCGGAAACCTGTGGCAAATTCCCTGACCTTACAATGTCGTGAATACAGATGGTGCCGAATTTCATCAAAACATCAAAACAATTGTGAATATTGTTAAACGTGAAAATCATAATTATTCAGAAAATTTTAACTTGCATCCAGATCGTAGTACCTTTGGTATTATAGTTACAACATTAGTATATTCGTAATTCTTCTTTCAATATAAACTTTGTAGTTATATGTGCTAATTTGTAAAGTGTCAATTAGGCTTCTCAAACTCTGGCTACGAGGTTGTAACTAAAGCTTGGACTTTTTTGCGGTATGGAAAATTTATGCATCATTATGATTTCATGCGTGATTAAATTTATTTTAATTTGTACAAAAAGACCAAGTTGTAATGGTTCGGCGTGGACTTAAATACACCAATAAAATTTTTATTGCTTTGTCAGCCGTTCATATGGAACATTTCAAACCTTCCCTCCTCCCCATATTACCATAAATCGCGTATTTAACCTTTCGATTGGGGCGTAAGGTGGTTGACAAAAACAATCTTTTTTCACTTTGAAGTCAACCTCGTTTGGGAACAAGGTTGCTTTGAAGTCTGGTAATCAAAAAAATTTGCCTTCGAAAAAATTGAAAGACCCTTATAACCACCGATCTATCTCTCTAGTGTTCGGTCCTAGCACAGGTCCATTCTGCATGGCATACACGTTCTTCGTGCATTTCTGTTCTTCGTGTATTTTCTATAATAGGGCTGTCGCCAAACCGTTTTATTTAACGCCTTTGTCTCTTTTTGTCTCTTGTAGAGAGCCCAGAATCGTGGAAATGGGAAGAGAGTTCGAAAGTTCATCGAGAGAAGTTTACTAAGCTGCTCCAATATGGAAAAGACTATCCGAAAGAGGTCAACGACGTTAACGGAGTACGCGTTTGTTGCTCGAAGGAGTTTCTCATTGGGAAGGGAAATGATGGCACTCGAGTCTATGTAGGTTTAGGGAAAGATGGATACGAAAAGGCTGTAAAGCGTTTGCCAAGAGATGCTTGCACTGGCGTAGCTGAACACGAAAAGAGGGTTTTGAACGAACTCAATGCAACTAAGTCAAACTATGTTGTAAATTATTGGTTTTTAGACGAACAAAGCGATAAGGACTACTTATTTTTAATCTTGGATTTATGTGAGGAAACGTTGGCAAATTTTGTTGCTGGCAACAGTTTGGAGGATCTAGTAACAATTGCGCCAGATATCATTCGGCAAGTTTTGAAAGGATTGGCTGATCTCCATCGCCATCCAAAGCCCATTTTGCATCGTGATTTGAAACCATCCAATATCTTGCGAGACGTCGACGGTAATTGGTTGCTGGCCGACTTTGGAATCAGTCGAATCTTAACGGCAGATACCAATACCCATCCAAGTGAACAGAGGGGAACGAATGATTGGAGAGCCGTTGAATCTTCATATCATTCGAATTGCATGACTGACGATAGCAAAGTACGTTATAAGAAAGAATCCGATATTCAGGTAGCGTTTTGCTTGTGTTACACACGAGTTAGAGGCCAATTACACGGAGCATTTTCAACCCCGGGGTTGAACTCAGCCCTGTTGAACGGGTTGAAACTCTATCAATAATACAAAACTCTATCAAAATCAGACGCGCGACCATACATGACAAAATTTTCAACCCAGGGACGAGTTTATCCCCGGGGTTGAAATTTCTACCCTGCTTCAGCAAGCAAGCATGCAGGCTTGAAATTTCAACCCGGGTTGAACTCAGCCCTGGGTTGAAAGTTCCGTCTTGTAATCATTTTAATCCAGGGCTGAAATTATTCATGAGTCATTCAAGCAAAGAAAACAAAATGGAGGCTATATTGAACCGCTTTTTTTTACTTCAGGAAATCAATGCCGGGATCGTATAGCATTCCAACCCCGAGATTGAAATCGTCCATGTAATCGCAAAAAAAATTCAACCAGGTTAACAGGGCTGAGTTCAACCCCGGGCTGAGTTAACCAAATAAACGAATTCCATAGTAAAGCTAGTGTTTAACCAAAATGAATATATTCTTTTCTAAAGTTGAAATAGACATGCAACACGTTTTCATCAACGAAATATTTTTAAACCTGGTTGTATAATTATATAACATACTATTGACAGGCTGACAGCCTTTGAAATAATATTGACATCAGTAATCCGTTTAAAAAGTCTGTCATTAAAGGTGTCAAATCAACTTTTCGGCAACATACTATGCGATGCATGGGCGTACGGGAAGGAAAAAATTAGGGGGGCGGAAAGAAATTTGCCCGACTTTTTCGGATTGTGCACGCGTTGTCAAAAAAAATTTTCCGGAGAAACTTTCCAAAATTGTTGTG